ACTCGACCAACCGGTCGAGTTCCTCAACTCGACCGGCCAAGCTTCAACTCGATCGAGCTGGGGAGTCAAAGTCAAACCCGAAAAATGTTGCTTCCCCCTTGACTTTCCTTTGACCCTAAACCTAAATCCTCTTGTATAAAAAGGCTCTAAGCCACGAAAAAACCAAAGCTTTAGATTATCTTTGTTTAGCTTCTTTTAATTTATTGTCTTTACTTTTTAGCAACCCTAATCCCATCTTTGTGTTCTTGAAGCTCTTGCTTCTTGAATCTTAGATCCTGGATTATTTGCTTTGTATTTGCACTTCCTTATTTCAATAAAAGCTCTTTAATTTCATCTCCTCTTTCTTATGATGTCTTTTCATTGCATTTGCTTGTGTTTACATTCATGTGTAGTGAGTAGTTACCCATTAGGGTTTGAGATGGGATAGATTAGAGGTTTCATATGCTTAATCCTTCTAGCTTATGGTCTTAATCTAGATTCTCTCTCTTTTGGATAGATCTTAAGGCTACATGACCACTACCCCTGGCTTGTAAGTCCTTAGGCGAGTCCCCACACGAAAGTGATGGCATTCGCTGGAAAAGATCCACTAAGAGCTCCAATATCTCTTGCTCTAGACAATAGAGGTCTAAGGGGTTGGATGGATTAGTTTGGGCAATGATCCTATAGCCTCCAAGGTTTGATTCTCACTGGCTAACCCCCTGTTTCTGAGATCATTCCTTGGTTGATAGCCTCACCTTGGGAAAGGGTTGGTTAGGCATTGAGAAGCCCAATATCAAGAGAAGCCTTGATACAAGGAGTTTTAAGAGCTAATGATTAAGTGTAGATTCCTTTGATTGCAAAACCCTGTCTTGAACCCTAATTCTCTCTTATCTTGTTAAAGTCGTCACCTTTACTGTCTTTTTGCTAACTCGACCCACAACTCGATCGAGCTCGGTGCTCTGTCCCAACTCGACTCGAGTCCCTGGTCGAGCTACTTATTTACCTGCTTTGTTTACTTTTATTGCACTGCATTTTCATTTCTTAGGTTGTTAGTGTTACTTAAAACCTATAACTGCTTGCTTGACTTTCTGGTTGTTTCATATTCTCATAGAGTGACAAGATTTCCCATTTTGGATTGATAACCTCTTATACTTCAATGACTATTTTTGTTGCATTTGAGTTTCAAACACTTGGACGATCAAGCTATACCACCCCTGTTCTATTGTACTGCTGGGTTTTTGTCTCTTTTTGCAGGTGTATGCGAACTCGATCGAGTCGGTCAACTGAAGACTTGGTCGAGCTAGACATTACAACGGGTAGAAAGAGGGTTCAGAGGTCACAGAGGGTACAAGAGGAACCTGAGGTGCTTGTTGCTGATACAATGGATGTACCAGAGGGAATGGAAACCCTTTGGGCATGGACTCGGTCGAGCTAGGCAAACTCGACCGATTGGTCAAGGAGATGCTCCAAACCGCCACCAACAGAGACAAGGGATTGTTCCACCACCAGTGCAGAACCACAACTTTGAGATCAAGCTGGGAATGATCAACCTTGTCCAGAACAAGATGTTCCATGGATTGCCAAGTGAAGACCCCATTGACCACCTTGATGAGTTTGATAGGCTTTGTGATTTGACAAAGATCAATGGTGTCTCTGAAGATGCCATCAAGCTGAGACTCTTTCCTATGTCTCTAGCTGACAAAGCTCACCAATGGGAGAAGAGCTTGCCCCATGGCACAATCACTACTTGGGATGAATGCAAGAAGGCCTTTCTTGCTAAATTTTTCTCCACCGGTCGCACAGCCAAGCTTAGAGGAGAGATATCCAGCTTCATCCAGCGAAACAATGAGACATTCGCAGAGGCTTGGGAGAGGTTCAAAGGCTACACAAGTCAGTGCCCACACCATGGATTCAACAATGAATCCTACTCTCCACTCTTTATAGAGGATGCTTGCCTAGGTATAGGGAGATGCTAGACACAGCTAGCAATGGGAACTTCCTCAACCAGGATGTAGATGATGGCTGGCAACTTGTGGAGAACATAGCTAACTCAAATGGAAGCTATGGAGAAGAGTATGATCGCACCAACCGGAGCTCGACCCACCACTCGATCGAGTCAGACGAAAAGTTGAGAAAAGATGTTAAGGCATTGAATGAGAAGTTGGATAAGCTGATCCTAGCTCAGTCCACAATGAAGAAAGTCAACTTTGTGTCTGCTGAGGAGATGGAACCAGTCCAAGAAGGGGAGGATACACAATTTGCTGAGGTGTGCTACATGAGCAATGGGCAAGGAGGTTACAACAAAGGATACTATAACTACAAGTCCAACCCTGCCATGTCATACCGCAACACTGATGTTGCTAACCCTCAGGACCAAGTCTATCCTCAACAACAAGCAGCTCGATCGAGTCAAGGTGCCACAACATGGGTATGGTCAAAAGAACAATTACCAAGGACCACAAGGCACTTTCCCTGGACAACAAATGAATATCCCACCAGGCTTTCCCCACCAACCGCCCCAGCCTGCACCTTCACAAGAGAATGAGCTCAAGGCAATGCTAAAGCAACTACTTCAAGGGCAAGCTGATGGGGTAGTGGACACAAGCAAGAAGCTAGCTGAAATAAACTCTAAGATCGAGAACCTCAACACAAGGGTTTACTCTCTGGAGAATCATGCTTCTTCTGTTGCTGCTGCTACAAAGCAAGGACAACTACCTGGTAAAGCTATTCAGAACCCCAAGGAACAGTGCAAGGTCATCTTCACTCAAGAAGGACTTGTTGAAGAAGAGGATCAAGAAAGGGTCATTGAAGATTTTTGTTTACTGCTGAATGATGAAGAGATTGTTGCTGCTGAGGCTCCTGGAGTCCAGATTGATCAACCAGAAGTGCATGCACCTACTGTGGCCATTCACACTTCACCAGTTGAGCTCGCACGACAAGCTCGATCGGCAGCTCGATCGAGTCCTCTAGCTCGATCGAGTCCGACAGCCTGTTTTGCTTGATCCTTATCAACCGGTTGCCGCTTCCTCGTCTCGCCTACTTAGTCAAGGTCACAAGGAAGTGATTCACAAGTTCAGAAGAGATCTCAGTGGGATTGGAATTGAGTTGCCTCTATGGATAGCATGAGTGAGGCATTTGATCAAATGCAAATGGTCAAGGATGTTCTAGCCAACAGTGATAAAGTTTCAGAGGTCCTACAAGAGTCTACTCATCAGTTCAACCTGCTTACTTCACCCACCTTCCTACCAAAGGTCAAGGATCAAGGGAAATTCACTCTCCCTTGCACACTTGGGCATCTTGAGATTGACAATGCCTTAGTGGATTCTGGAGCAAGCATCAATCTGATCTCTCTCTCCATGGCAGAGAAGCTAGGCATTGCTGGAGCCTTGCAGCGCCCTACTACTTCAATCATGTTTGGAGATGCAACTTCTAAGTCTCCTCTTGGAGTGTTCAAGAACTATCACTTGAAAATTGGAGAATGCATCATCCAAACTGATCTCACTGTGATGGAAATGGAAGAAGAGAAGGATTTGCCTCTGTTATTGGGAACCCCTTTCCTTAGTACAGTTGGCGCTTCAATAGACTTTCACAAGCAAGAAGTGATCCTTCACAAGGTGAATAGTTTGGTGTCATATCGCTTGCAGCCTAGAGGTTCAGACTTTTGTGCCACAATTGACAGTACCAATCTCAGTTCTAAGAGTCATGGAGCTACAAAGGTTGTGAAGGAAAGGGTTGACAAGGAACCAAGAGTTGGGAAGGATAAGGATGAGAGAGGACCAAGGATTGAGAAGCCACGTCTTGAGAGGGCTAGAGTTGAGAAACCACGATCTGATAGGCCAAGAGCTGAGCGACTTGTTCAAGCCCCTTGTGTGCTTGATGAAGAGAGCCTTCAAGCTTTGTTTGATGAGCCACTAGGAAGGGCTCTAAAAGAAGGGGAGGATGCAGCCTCTAAGGCAAGACCAGGAGATAAAAGAAAGGATCCACCAGCTCAGGCCCCTTCAGTCAAGCCATCTCAGCTCACAATGACTTTGTTCCCCACCAAGTTTGAAAATGGGAAGATTGAGTACAAGATAAGGTACAAGGGGAGATCAAGGCCATTCTCTAGAGCCAAGGCCTTGGTGACTTCAGAACAGTCCAGGGACCCAACCAAGCTAAAGGAGCTTCTGTCTCAAGTCCTCACTATCACCCTTGATGGTGGGACTAGCTCAACCAATGCCTAAGAGGTAAAGGTCAAGCTATGGGACCTTAAACAAGCTCACTTGGGAGGAAGTCCCATGTTTATCCTTGTACATACTCTATTTATGCAATTTCTATCTATCTTTATGTTTTTAACCTTTCAATAAGTTAAGTTTAGGTGTCAAGGAGCCAGCTCGACCCAGCTCGATCGAGCTAGAAACCAGGGCAACTCGATCGAGTTCAACTCGACCAAGGTAAGTTTTTGAATTTCAAATTCATAACCGTTTTCTTGGTCAAGGGAGTGGGTCCCACACTACCCTAATTGATCAGAGAATCCCTAGTTTCTTGTTCCCTCTTTATCCCATCTTTTAATCTCAACCACACATCTCAAACAACTCTCTTCCCCATAACTCGATCGAACCCACTTCCTCTCTCCCCACTCATATCTTAAATTTCTGAAACTCATCCTCTCTCTCTTCACCACAAGAAATCGAATTTCTCTCTTTCTCTCTTAAGTTTTTGCGATTTCATGTTCATCTTTGTTTTGCTTGTTCTGTTTACTGCTCTTCAATTCCATCATTCAACAAGGTATGAACCCTAAAACCCTTGATCCTCATCTCGATTCCTTTTGCTTGTTTTCTCTTGATTTTTGATTGCATGTGTCCCTTGTGGACTTGTTATTGAGAATTGCTTTCATATTTCGCCTCTGCCATGTAACTTGTTAGTTTTGCTTCACCTCACCTCTGTTTTGCCTTTAAACTTGTTGCATGTGCTTGAAATTTGAATTTGAGTTTGGTAATGGTTAGGTTGCTATGTTTTTCACTAGAATTGCTTATTGTTCCATTTACTAGTTGTTCTTGGTTCAATTTGATTGATTAGCATCCTTTCCAGCTCTTAATACATGAATTAGGTTTGGTTATACTCTGTTTTCACTAACTCGATCGAGTTTGTCACTCGAGTTTTTTGACTCGATCGAGCTGAGTGTCGAGTTGACCAAACCGATCATTACAACTCTAATTCTTTGAACTTTTGATGCATTTCAGGGACCAATCTAAGATGTTGAGAGGTGAAGGAAGCAAGCAGCGTTCACAAGGAGGAGATGATAAGAGGAGCAAGGAGGATACTCAAAACACAAACCAAGGAGGACATAGAAGAGGTTGAGAGGGTGAGGGAAGGAAAGGAGAACCAAAAGAAGGAATGATCCTCTCAGCAGTGAGAGCGAAGCAAGGAGAGTTTGAAATTGGGTGAACATCCCACATGAGGAGAATGATGACTCCCAAGTGAAGAAGAGGGTGAAGAGATCAATCAAGAGATTGAGGAGAGTGAGCATGAGGGCAATGAGAATGTGCCCATGGAAGAGGAGGAGTCAAGGAAGAAGAGGATGAGCTCCCCATGTACCAAGAGCACTATGATGCTCTCTTCTCCATGGACTTCATGGAGACCAAGTACCCACATGTTGACACCATGAAGGCCCTTGGAATCTTTGAAGATGTGGAGTTGGTCCTCAAGAACATGCACTTGGCCAAGTTCTTCTCCTACCACATGGAATCCTACAAGGAGCTCACTTGCGAGTTCTAGCTTCAATGAGGTACCACATGTATGAGGAGAAGATAGAGCTGATTTGGACCAAGGATTGGGATGGATCACGTTCTTGGCTAAGGGAGAGAAGAGAATGGTGACCTTTAGGCAGCTGGAGATCTTGTTTGGGTTCAACTATGGAGAGGGAACCAAGTGGAACTTCAAGGAAAAGGAACTCCAAAGGGTTTGGGCTACAATCGCTGATGGAGTGTACTCTTCCTCAAGGTCCAAGGCAGCTCAGATCAGGAGCCCAGTCTTGAGATATGTGCACAAGGCACTTGCCAACACCTTCTTTGCAAGGAAGGCACCGGGACAATCAACGAGGGGGAACTCAAGTTTCTTGACATGGGAATCAAGCCCTTCTCTCACGCACAAGCGATGGCAAGAGGATCAGGGGAGATAGGTCTGACACAGGGAACTTGATGCCTTTCCTTGACCACCTCCTCACCTACAAGATCACAGCTTACAACACTAGGCACCAAAGAGGAAGAAAGCTTAGTGTTGGAGGGCTCATCACACCTATCTTGTGTGCTGCTGGAGTAAACCCAACTGATAGGAGAGCTACTGAACCAGGTTGGATGGACATCAAGTTTTGCAAGACCAACCTCCTCATTGAGCACAAGGAGTTGGATGGGAGGTTCCAATTCAAGTTCACACATCCATTGGCTGGACCCTCCAAGCTTCTCCTGCCCAACCCAGAGCTCACCACAGTTGTAAGGGGTGAGAACATTGATTCAGACCCCCTGTGTACACATTAGTTGGGCATGAGGGATTTGCGAGAAGAGGAGCCTGAGCTCGATCGAGCTGAGTCGAGCTGAGGTCGAGCTGAGGATCGAGCTGAATATCAGGTCCAGGAGCGCTGATTGGGTGAGCCTGAGTGCTACTACTTTGAGGAGTATGAGGCTCCAAGGATGAACCCCTCTGTTGTGGCTGCCCACAAGAGGATTGGACTTCTCCAAAAGTTCAACAAATGGCAAGGGAAAGCCATGGAGAAGATGCAAAAGTCCATGGACAAGATGGTGAGCAAGATCAAAAGTTTGGAGAAGAAGGTTTCTGGTTCTTCAAGCAAGAAGAAGTCCAAGGCTCCCACTTTCCCTAGGAGTAGGTCACTCCTCACCACCCAAAGGAGGCTCCCTGCCCAAAGCCTCACAGAGCCTCTTCTTTCGAGCCAAGGGAAGGAGAGACAACACGCAGAGAAGGAGGAAGAGTTCCAAGGCCAGACGCTCCAGCTCGACCACCGGACTCGATCGAGTCCAAACAGAGGAAACTCAACTCGATCGAGCTGAGGGTCGAGTTGACCTGGAGGAGCCCCTGTTTGAGAACCCTGGATTCGAGTACGATCAACCCAGTACCAGGACTTCTCTCAGACCCTGGACTCCCTACAACCGCTTCGAGCGAGCACAACTCCACCAAGGCCAAGGAAGCCACACCACTTTGAAGATGAAGAAGAAGAGGAGAGGAGCCACAAGCTCGATCGAGTGAGCCGAACCCAGTTGAGTGGAGCGCTCCTGATGGCCGTCTACCATCTCCAGACCACGACCTAGCCTCCCAGTTCTTTGGGGGGCACTGAGGTATCCAAACACCAACCCTTGTATATACCATTTCATATTTTCTTGCTTTGTTCTTGTTTTTTCTTGGTTTTGCCCTCTTGAATCTTTCACTAATTTTTCTCACACAAGGGACTGTGTGATTTAAGTTTGGGGGAGGGTTCAAGAGATGATTTAACCTTGTTTTCTTTGTTCTTAGTTTTTCATTTATCTTTTGCATAGAAAAACCAAAAAAATCATAAAATTTTCAAAAAATCCAAAAATATTTTCATCTTTTTGCATTCATATTTGTTAGACTTGTTTAGGATTGCATTTTTCACTTGCATTGTTGATTTGACTTTGAAAACTTGTCCATCTTTTGCGATTTCTTGAGTGCCCTGTTTTTAGATTCTTTTGTGCATTAGGGTGAGATTGATTGAGCAGCAAGAACCATGTTTATCTTGATCATATCGCTGCATGCACATCTCATTCAACCATTGCTGTGATTTGATGCATTTCCCTATCTATTTGAACCATAACTTGATCTTTAATTACCAATGCTTGCATTTGATTTCAACTCATGGCTACCACATACATATCTGGACATTCTTTATCATTTTCATATCCCTTTTGCTTGTCCAGATAGCTGATCTCTATCTTTGAGACAGTTACCACACCTTAAACCTAAGCCTTTTCATTTCAAACCCCTTATTATCTCTTGTGCGAATGTGAGAACCTTTCTTGGCTTTGCTTAGCATAAGGTGTTGTGTTTAAACCGGCAGGGGCAGTAGTTCTAGTTGTCTAGTTCTCTTGGGATTGTTTTCAGGCTAAGTTTGGGGGTGCCAACTCGAGCTCGATCGAGTTGGGTGTAAAAACCAGAAAAGTGGTAAAAATTGGGAAAAACCCAAAGGAAAAAGAGTTTGGTTAAGTCCAGGGAGTTGGCAGTGTTAAAAAGGGTCTAGTAAAGGTTTGGGAAGTTAAAAAAGGAAGTAAAAAGGGTTCTAAGTAGAATGAAAAGAAGGCAAAGCCTCAAGTGTCAAAAAGGAAGAAAAGTTCCCTAAGTGTTTAGAAAATCCCAAACCGCTAGATGTTACCTCAAGAAGCCTCTCCCTAGGAAGTTCTTAAAAGAAAAGTGAGCAAAGCTCCTCAGTTTCAAAGGCGAAATGCCAAAAAGGGTAGTTAGGATTTTGTTCTAAAAAGCTCTAAGTGTTGAACTCGATCGAGTTAGGATTAGGCGGCTCGAGCTGCTGTTCTTGCATCATCTTTGGTTCTAACACTTAGCCTTCTGCCAAAGCAAAGCCACTTTCTTGAGAGATCCCTGTTACTAAACCACCATACAAAAGAGACCCTCTTTGTCTCTTAACCCATAAACCCTTGAAACCAAATGAGTTGATTGATCTTGCATGTTTTTGGTTCACTGTTTTTGCTTAATGAATGTTAAAGGGATTTGCTGATTTGAATGCATTGTTTGAGTGACTGTGAAGTGGGATTGATGTTGATAAGCATGGTTAAATCTTAATGAATATCTCTCACCTTGTTGCATTCTAGAATCTCTAAGTTGGACATTTAGCAAATCGCTTTTGAGGACATGTTTTTAAGTGTTGAATCAGCTATTTTCAAACCTCATCTCTTTCTTGTTCTATTTGTTTGCTTGAGGGCAAGCAAAGTTCAAGTTTGGGGGTGTTGATGTACTTGCATTTTACATAGTTTTAGCACATCTTTTATGCATCTTTTGCATAGTTTTAGCTTCCATTTGCATCATATCTTGTTCCTTTTCTCTTCTTATGCATTCATGTTAGTTTTAGGTTGCATTTGCATACATATGCATGTTTGGTCCTTTGAAATAGGTCTTTTGGAGCATTCTGGAGCATATGGGACATAAGGAGCATGGAGGGACTTGGCACATGGAAGCAGCTCAACTGGATACGCAAAGGAAGAAGGGAGAAGCCATCTTGAAGACCAGCTCGACCGTCCACTCGACCAACCGGTCGAGTTCCTCAACTCGACCGGCCAAGCTTCAACTCGATCGAGCTGGGGAAGTCAAAGTCAAACCCGAAAAATGTTGCTTCCCCCTTGACTTTCCTTTGACCCTAAACCTAATCCTCTTGTATTTAAAGGCTCTAAGCCACGAAAAAACCACCAAGCTTTAGATTATTTTGTTTTAGTTTCTTTTAATTTATTGTCTTTACTTTTTAGAACCCTAATCCCATCTTTGTGTTCTTGAAGCTCTTGCTTCTTGAATCCTAGATCCTGGATTAATCTCTTTGTATTTGCACTTGCTTATTTCAATAAAAGTTGTTTAATTTCATCTCCTCTTTCTTATGATGTCTATTTCATTGCATTTGCTTGTGTTTACATTCATGTGTAGTGAGTAGTTACCCATTAGGGTTTGAGATGGGATAGATTAGAGGTTTCATATGCTTAATCCTTCTAGCTTATGGTCTTAATCTAGATTCTCTCTCTTTTGGATAGATCTTAAGGCTACATGACCACTACCCCTGGCTTGTAAGTCCTTAGGCGATCCCCACACGGAAGTGATGGCATTCGCTGGAAAAGATCCACTAAGAGCTCCAATATCTCTTGCTCTAGACAATAGAGGTCTAAGGGGTTGGATGGATTAGTTTGGGCAATGATCCTATGGCCTCCAAGGTTTGATTCTCACTGGCTAACCCCCTGTTTCTGAGATCATTCCTTGGTTGATAGCCTCCACCTTGGGAAAGGGTTGGCTAGGCATTGAGAAGCCCAATATCAAGAGAAGCCTTGATACAAGGAGTTTTAAGAGCTAGATTGATTAAGTGTAGATTCCTTTGATTGCAAAACCCTGTCTTGAACCCTAATTCTCTCTTTATCTTGTTAAAGTCGTCACCTTTACTGCTTTTTGCTCAACTCGACCCTAAACTCGATCGAGCTGGTACTCTGTTCCCAACTCGACTCGAGTCCTTGGTCGAGCTTTTTACTGCTTTGTTTACTTTTATTGCACTGCATTTTCATTTTTAGGTTGTTAGTGTTACTTCAAATCTATAACTGCTTGCTTGACTTTCTGGTTGTTTCATATTCTCATAGAGTGACAAGTTTCCCATTTTGGATTGATAACCTCTTATACTTCAATGACTATGATGGTTAAGAGGAATTGTTGACTGTGTTTGTGTTTGCATCTTACCACCATCATTTACCACTGATTGCATTCCACTCATCTCATTTCATTCTTTTCACATACACACGCACAAACACTCACCATCAACCGTCTACTCGACCAACCGGTCGAGTTGAGGAACTCGACCGGCCAAGCTTCAACTCGATCGAGCTAAGAAGTCAACAATCAAATCCGAAAATTGTTGCTTCCCCCTTGACTTTCCTTTGACCCTAAATCTAAAACCTCTTGTATTTAAAGGCTCTAAGCCACGAAAAAACCACCAAGCTTTACTTTATTTTTGTTTTAGCCTTTCTTTAATTTATTGTCTTTTACTTTTTAGCAACCCTAATCCAATCTTTGTGTTCTTGAAGCTCTTGCTTCTTGAATCTTAGATCCTGGATTATTTGCTTTGTATTTGCACTTGCTTATTTCAATAAAAGTTGTTTAATTTCATCTCCTCTTTCTTATGATGTCTCTTTTATTGCATTTGTTTGTGTTTACATTCATGTGTAGTGAGTAGTTACCCATTGGGGTTTGAGATGGGATAGATTAGAGGTTTCATATGCTTAATCCTTCTAGCTTATGGTCTTAATCTAGATTCTCTCTCTTTTGGATAGATCTTAAGGCTACATGACCACTACCCCTGGCTTGTAAGTCCTTAGGCGACTCCCCACACGAAAGTGATGGCATTCGCTGGAAAAGATCCACTAAGAGCTCCAATATCTCTTGCTCTAGAAAATAGAGGTCTAAGGGGTTGGATGGATTAGTTTGGGCAATGATCCTATAGCCTCCAAGGTTTGATTCTCACTGGCTAACCCCCTGTTTCTGAGATCATCCCAACCAACCCTTTCCCAAGGTGAAGGTTATCAACCAAGGAATGATCTCAGAAACAGGGGATTAGCCAGTGAGAATCAAACCTTGGAGGCTATAGGATCATTGCCCAAACAAGGAGCTAGTGCTTAAGAACATGCACTTCTTAAGAACATTCTTAAGAACATGCTTAAGAATCAAACAGGGGGTCCATCCACCCAGCTGGAGTTGCCTTCTTCTTGTTTAGCTGGACACCAGCTGCGTAGAGGATAGGGGTGATTATCCCTCCAACGCTCAGCCTCCTTCCTTGTTGAAATCGAGTGCTATAGGCTGTGGTGCTGTAGGAGAGTAGTTGATCGAGGAGGGGCATGAGGTTTCCTGCGTGTGCTCTATCTACCTCTGAGCTTCTTTCTATCCCTGGTGCGTGAGATGATGGGCTTAATCCCCATGTCAAGTAGCTTAACTTCTCCTTCATTAATCGTCCCTGTTGCCTTCCTTGCAAAGAAGGTGTTGGCAAGGGCTTTGTGCACATATCTCAGCACAAGACTCTTTATCTGAGCAGCCTTAGATCTTAAAGAAGAGAACTCTCCTTCAGCGATTGTAGCCCACACACGTTGGAGCTCATTCTCGTTGATATCCCAATGGGTTCCTTCCCCATATGTGAAGCCAAAAAAGATCTCTAGCTGCCTAAAGGTGATAATCTTCCTTTCTCCCTTTGCCAAGAATGTTATCCATCCCCAGCCTTGGTCCAAGTCAACTCGATCGAGCTCATCATACTCGTGGTACCTCATCGATGCCAATAACTCACAAGTGAGCTCCTTGTATGATTCCATGCGATGAGAGAAGAACTTGGCCAAGTGCATGTTCTTAAGCACTAGCTCCACATCCTTGAAGATCCCAAAGCCTTCATTGTATCATCATGTGGGTACTTGGTTTCCACAAAGTCCATAGAGAGGAGAGCATTGTAGTGCTCTTGAAACATGGGGAGTTCATCCTCCACTTCTTGTGGCTCAGCCTCCTCCATTGGCTCATCTTGGTTACTCTTATCAACCTCTTGATTAACCTCCTCTCCTTCTTCACTTGGAGAGCCATCACTTTCCTCTTCTCCATGATTGACCCCAATCTCAAATTCTCCTTGCTCGCCCTCACTACTTATTGGGTCATTCCTCTTCTTGGTCCTTCTCTCTTTCCTCAATCTTTCACTCTCAGATTCCAACTCTGCCTGATAATACCCCTCACCCTCAGAAACTCCAATCCTCTGACTCATTCCTTCCAACTCGGCTTGCAACCTTTGCCTCTCTTGAATCGCATTGCTTGATTCACCCTAACCATTCTCCTCTGCGAAGCACGGCTTCCCCCACTGCTTGTCATATTTGTTATGCTGCTTTTCCAACTAAGGTTCCTGAAATTCATAAAAGATTCCAAAGAGTTAGAGTTGTAATGATGAATTCGGTCAACTCGACACACAACTCGATCGAGTTAAAAAACTCTAGTGACAAACTCGATCGAGTCGGGTGAAAACAGAGCAAAACCGAATCTAAATCAAGTATTAAGAGCTGGATAGGATGCTAAACAAACAAATTGATCTAAGAACATCAAGAACTTGGAACAATAAGCAATTTAAGTGAAGACTATAGCATCCTAACCAATACCAAACTCAAATTCAATGGTTTCAAGCATATGCAACAATTTCAATGGCAAAACAGAGGTGAGGTGATGAATATGAAAGCAATTACTCAAGAAAAGTCCACAAGGGACACATGCAATCAAAATTCAAGAGAACAACATGCAATAGAGAGGAATCGAACTTAAGGATTGGGGGTTTAGGGTTCATACCTTGCTTGCATGATGATTGAACTAGAACAGTAGCTAGAAACTAAAGCAATTCAAGACAATGACAAGGAGAATCGCAAAAACTCAAGAGAGGATAAGAAATTTTTGGATTTCTTAGAGAGAAGGGAGAGAGATGATGATTTCAGAAAATTTTGAGTGTGGGAGAGAGAGGGGTTGTGCGATCGAGTTATGGGGAAGAGGGAGTGTTTGAGATGTGTGGTGAGGATTAAAAGATGGTTAAAGAGGGGACAAAAGCTAGGGGTTTTTCTGATCGATTTAGGAAGTGGGGGACCAAAATTTACATGTGGGACCCACCCCCTTGACCAAGGAAACGGTTAGAAATTTGAAATTCAAAAACTTACCTTGGTCGAGTTGTGGAACTCGATCGAGTTACCCTTGTTTCTAGCTCGATCGAGCTGTCGGTCGAGCTGGCTTCTTGTCACCTAAACTTAATCTTCCTGAAAGTTAAGACACAAAACTAGATAGAAATTGCAATAAAGAATATGTACAAGGATAGTCATGGGACTTCCTCCCAAGTGAGCTTGTTTAAGGTCCCATAGCTTGACCTTTACCTCTTAGGCATTGGTTGAGCTAGTCCCACCATCAAGGGTGATAGTGAGGACTTGAGACAGAAGCTCCTTTAGCTTGGTTGGATCCCTGGACTGCTCTGAAGTGACCAAGGCCTTGGCTCTAGAGAATGGTCTTGATCTCCCCTTGTACCTTATCTTGTACTCAATCTTTCCATTTTCAAATTTGGTGGGGAACAAGGTCATAGTGAGCTGAGATGGCTTGGCTGAGGAAACCTGAGCTGGTGGGTTCTTTCTTTTCTCTCCCACAAGTGCCTTTGAGGCTGCATCCTCCCCTTCTTTTTGAGCGCTTCCTAGTGGCTCATCAAACAAAGCTTGGAGGCTTTCCTCATCAAGTACACATGGTGCTTGAACAAGTCTATCAGCTCGTGGCCTATCAGAACGTGGTCTCTCAACTCTAGGCCTCTCAAGGCGTGGTTTCTCAATCCTTGGTCCTTTCAACTCTTTGATCCTTCTCAACCTTATCTCTCACAACTCTTGGCTCTTTGTCAACCTTTTCCTTCACAACCTTTGCAACTTCAGGAGCTCTTGGAACTAGAGGAGTGCTTTCAATTGTGGCACAAAAGTCTGACCTCTAGGCTGCAAGCGATAAGACACCAAACTATTCACCTTGTGAAGAATCACTTCTTGCTTGTGAAAGTCTATTGAAGCGCCAACTGTGCTAAGGAATGGGGTTCCCAATAGCAGAGGTAGATCCTTTCTTCTTCCATCTCCATGACAGTGAAGGTCAGTTTGGATGATGCATTCTCCTATTTTCAAGTGATAGTTCTTGAACACACCAAGAGGAGACTTTGAAGTTGCATCTCCAAACATGATTGAAGTAGTAGGGCGCTGCAATGCTCCAGCAATGCCAAGCTTTTCTGCCATTGTGAGGAGATGAGGTTGATGCTTGCACCAGAATCCACCAAGGCATTGTCAAGCTCAATATGCCCAAGTGTGCAAGGGAGAGTGAACTTCCCTTGATCCTTCACCTTTGGTAAGAAAGTAGGTGAGGTAAGCAGGTTGATTTGGTGAGTAGACATCCTTCCAGAAGCTCTGAAACCTTTCACTTGTTAGCCATAACATCCTTGAACCAACTTCATTTGCTCAAATGCCTCACTCATGCTTTCCATAGAGGCAACTCAATTCCAATCTCACTGAGGTCTCTTCTGAACTTGTGAATCACTTCCTTATGGCTTGACTGAGTAGGCGAGCCTGATGAAGGGTTTAGGACGGATTGATGTCTGACTCGATCGAGCTAGGGTCGACTCGATCGAGCTGCCGATCGAGCTTGTTGTGCGAGTTCAACTGGTGAAGTGTGAAGGCTACAGTAGTGGCTGCACTTCAGGTTGATCATTTGGACTCCAGGAGCCTCAGCAGCAACAATGTCGTCGTCATTCAGCAGCAAACAGAACTCTTCCATGACTCTCTCTTGATCCTCTCTTCTTCAAGCCTTCTTGAGTGAAGATGACCTTGCACTGTTCCTTGGGGTTCTGAATGCTTTACCAGGTAGTTGTCCTTGCTTTGTAGCAGCAGCAACAGAAGAAGCATGATTCTCCAGAGAGTACACTCTTGTGTTGAGATTCTCAATCTTGGAGTTGATTTCAGCCAACTTCTTGCTTGTGTCCACAACACCATCAGCTTGACCTTGGAGCAATTGTTTCAACATAGCCTTGAGCTCATACTCAGGTGTAGGTGCAGGCTGGCGTGGTTGGTGGGGAAAGCCAGGTGGTATGTGCATTTGCTGACCAGGAAAAGTCCCTTGAGGGCCTTAGTAGTTGTTTTTGGGACCATACCCATGTTGTGGAGCTTGACTC